TCTAAATCACCAGTCAATTGTGAGTATTTAAACATCAGATCATAAGCTATCATGTCCTGGTTACGTTCATTTTTTCATAGGTTGAAGTCTTACTGGGGCCCAATCATGCCCGATGTGACTGCAGTTTCAAGCAATCTTCTTATCTCTAAGCAAGTAAGTCTAGCTTCTAGTATATAATTCAACAAAAATAACAAAACACAATGGCCAGCCCAATCTTCAGATTACTGAGAGAGAGACAGAGACCAAGAGACAGAGACAGAGACAGGCAGAGACAGAGAGACAGAGAGACAGAGCAGATCCCATTCTTGCCAAGTGCTAAGCAAGGCTTAGCAAATGTTAAGTTTATAAGCACAGATAACCTATCTCAGTAACCCATAATTACAATTCATAGCTTTGAATCATAGCATGAATTACTGACTGAAATTCAAAGATATAAAATATATTTCAAATACAATATGTAGAGAATCAAGCTTTAAAACCTGAATATATATATATATATATATATATATATATATATATATAATTTTAGAATTCTATCTCTTTTAAGAGTATTTATAATCTAGGCAGACACTAAATGTCTCTTTATAAATCAAATTTATAAGAATTATATAGAAAGCTATCTTTCAAATATAGTATTTTAAATTAATTTCTTCAAATGAGGTGCCATTTATGTCTTTTATTTTCTCTAACTTTGTGAATAACATTCCAAAAGACATCCAGTGTGCACAACAGTTTTATGAAAAACGATATTTTTTCCAACATCTCCATCTGCTGGCTTAGAGGAAAAGCAGATTTTTTATTTGCTATTTCTTCAAATTTCATATTTTATAGTTTATTTCATTCTGTGGAATTTAATATGAAGTTATTCAATTATTATTAGCTACACTAATGGCTGTTTGGGCAACTCATTCAGCAAAACAAATTAGGAACAGATTTAAACACTTGCATATTTAATATTTTTAAACTCAGATCCTATGAGATTAAATACTTGTGTTCCTAAGCCTTTGATTTTTTAAAACTTGCTAATCAGCATGGCATTAAAGTTTACAAAAATTATTTAGCATGTGAATATACCATGTATTTTCCTAAAATCTCTTGGTGTTAGTAGATGATTGAGCCATCTATATATCAATGCCAACATCAAACTTGTTTTCATAAAATTTCACATTTTCAGTTGCTGAAATAAATTGCTTGTGTCTGGACGTGGTGGCACACACCTGTAATCCAGCACTCAAGAGGCTGAGGGAGGAGGATCACTGTGAGTTCCATGCCAGCCTGAGCTACTCTGTCTCTAAAAAACACATTACTCCTGTTCAGGAATCACTAGAACACCTGTACATACTCCTATTCAAATTCTTAGCCCGACCTGAGCTGAAGGCCCTGGGATACTTTTTCAGCCTCAAGCATCCTGCTGCGCTCCGCCTGTGCCCCAGCTGCCTTTGGGGGAATCCGCCCACCACCCCATCTGAAAACCACCAGCCATACATGTGGCCGCTCAAATCCTGCAAATGGAGTGCTGAGCAGGGAATTAGAACCAGCAAATAAAATCAGTTTTCTTTTTCCTTAAGAGACAAGCGACTTCTCCAAACCTACTTGGGTGTAGGGCACAAGCTGCTGCCCTCACCCCTCTGAGCCCAGACCAACAGGCAGACTAAACAGACGCCAGCACCACAGAGCCAAGCTCAGTTTCATTTCCGGAGCAGAGAAAGGCGCCTTCTGTGTCCACGGAGGACGAAACAAGTCTGGATGTATCTGTTATCTCTTCACACGCCCTGTCCCCTGTCCCTGACACACTTTGAGGCAGTGATTGCTGGGCACTCAGCCCCTTCCATCTCCCACCCTTTTTACCTTTTTATCAAAAACAAATGTCCCCAAAACATTATTACAGCCCAGAGAGAGAAAAAGATCAGAAAACAAAATTAACAGCCAAGGGGACACCATTCATTTACCCTCTAACTACCAGAGGGCACTGAGAGCATATTTATGCGTGAATGAACAAATGAATGAGAGAGAATGAATGATTCTTGAGGTTGACCAATGGTTTCAGCTGCTAGATACAGATTCGAATCTCCACTATTTTTTCCTAGTTTTAGCCCATTTCTATATTCCCATAATGAGAATTCTGAGAAGCATTCAGAGAAAAAAAATACTGTTTCCTGTTAATATGACAGGGAAAGAGGAAAGGAAAGAAGCAATGGCGACAGGAAGAAAGAAAAAAGAAGGTGAAAGAAACGAAGGCTAGACATTGGAAATCTCTCTTTATTTCCACAGATATTTATGGAAATAAAAGGGAGCAGGCAGGTATTCTGGCCATCCCACTGCGCCCACGGAAACCGAGGGTGTGGCTCTCAGCGCTGTGCACCTGGTCATTTTACCTGGCTCAAACTAGAATTTCTCCATCTCGTTTGCATACCCACACCCATGCAGCAGAGCTCCTTGCATCTGTTACCAAGCACCAACCACACTGTATCTCAGTAAGTTTTGCTATCACAGGAAAATGAAAATAAATAGTTAAACAAATACCTTTGTTATGGTGAAACTGTATCTCTAACCTATAAATGAATTATAAAGTATAAAGCTCCACTGCTTTGGTAAATAAGTTTAACCCTGTGGGATTTTTAGGGCTTAACTAAAATCAAAATCAAGCTACATACCTCCCATCTAACAATGGAATTAAGAGTAACATTGCTTCCATTTCTGCAGGATGTGAGAAAAACAGGCTTTGGTCCTAGATGTCAATATACTTTGTTACTTTCACTTTATCTAAGATGAATCATGGGGGTCCCCTCCTCCCCCAAAAAGGGGCAAGGAAGCCAGGGTTAAAAAAAAAAAAAAAAAAAAGAGCAAAGCTTGTGCAGGAATTATGGGCAAGCCTCAACTTGACAAATTAGATACTAGAGAATCCATCCATGTCTTGATGATTGACTTTTGTGGTGTTGATAGTTTACATAACCTCCCCCCACACACAAGGAGTTAAATATGTTACAGTTTCTTTTTAGTGCAAAAGAAAGGAAGGCAGGAAGGAAAGAGGGAGAGAGGGAGGAAGAGAGGGAGCAGGAAGCCAGAGGAAAGAAAGGGTTTCAAAACATATCGCTGCCATTTTACAAATTTGAAATTTCTGAATAAAGAAACTGAGTAACAAACACATGAAGTGATGTGTTCAATGAGTCAATGTCAACTCCAGAAAATTCCCCCCCGTTCTCTGCAGCAATCAGTGGGATATTTATAACCTAGGAACTGGAAATGCTGAGACTCCCAATTCGCATGTTGGCAGCTTTGAAGTGCACTTGGTTCCTTCAACTAATCTGCATTAGTGTCCTGGAATAGTAATCTCTGCAAGGTGATTCCAGGAGGTGAAGACATGTGAAAACATATTTTTATAGTACTTTCTCTCTGGGAAAGAAACAGGAAATCTGTAGATAAAATGGAATTTTGATATGCCCTCTTCTCAGAAGTGTGGTCAAAAGCATTCAGCTGGCAAGTTATTTTTAAATAGATGAAATCTATGTGCACATTACAGGAATGCCTTGAGTCTGTGAAAAATCGATGGAATTTAATAGTTTAATATGTACATGTTCGGACCTTTGGTCTTACTTCAATAAAACTGATGTTTAAAAATTTTTAAAAATGTAGAGCCTGTTACCTTGTAAATCCTTGATTTTTATAAAATCCGACGCAGCGATTTGCATCAAGGAACAGAGATTTTGTCGAGGAGACACAGTCGTAGTTTTCTAAGCTGCTCTGCCCATCTACACCAACAAATGAACTTCTCAATTGCTATTTTTTACAAGTACTGCCCTGGATGCTGGAAAGCCACACACTCCCTGTGTCTGAAACCTCCCTGGAGTCCCGGGTTTTCTGGACCCCTCATCCAGGTATCCTATTACATGTAGTTAGATATACAGGACGTTTGCACCACTACACTTGGAATTCGGGAGACAGAGAGACTTCTAGACATTCAGTAAATGAGTAGCCTAATTCTGGCAGGTAAGTAAGCCAAGTGTGAAAGCCTGTACCATTTAAACCACACAGTTTCTTGCATGTTTGTTTGTGAGGTACTAAAACTTGGGGAGACATTCTTCCATGACATTTTTTGCGATCTCTCTGTCTGTGTCTCTCTGTGTCTCCTCACACACACACACATCCACAGTGTGCCTTCTCCTTTAGCCTGGGCCTTTGAAGGAATGGCACAGCAGTTGCGAAGCTCTCCCCTCTCTCCTTCCTCCCTCTAGCATCTCGTTCATCTCATCCATGGACCAGGCTGCCTGCTCCAGCTCAGCTTCCCAGCTGAGCCTTGGGGAGGAGCCGGCTGCTGAGCTGGGGTCTCTTGGCCTGAGCTAGGCTCCGCTTCCCTGTGGGTCAGACGCAGGCGGGGCCGCGGCTCTGCCTGTGGCCTACATGGGGCTGAGCCCTAGCGAACCCTGAAACCGCCCTCCATTGGAGCTGACCTCGGAAGCAGCGCCGGCGGCCCACGCGCGAACCTTACAGAGCCACGCGCTGGGGTGGATCCGCGGTCAAAAGGCGCGGGGCTGAGGATTGGGCCGAACAGAGGATTGCGCGTCCCTCCCCGCCCCCTCCCGCTCCCCCAGCATGGGTCTGGGCCTGCGTGGGCCCAGCTTCCCAAGCCGCGACCCTTGGGTGGGCGCTGTTACGTAATGGCCCGCGCCCGGGTGCAGCGCGCAAGCTCCACGCCTGACAGTTCACCCGTGGCAGGGAACGAGAAGGGGGTGGGGGTCGGGGACGCCGAGTTTCGCGTGGGACCCGGACACGCGTGCAGGAGAGGGGAAGGAGGGAACCAGGACCCAGGCAAGGCCTCTGTTTCGACTCCCCTCCGGGCTGTCGCCCCCGCTGCTCCCCACCTGCAGGGTCTCTGAGCTTGGTTCCCTGCACCCTGCACCCCTGCACGCACGCGCATATTCACCGCTCACACCCACGCGCGTGCAACCTGTCCACCCCGGCCTCCGCGCGGCTCCCGGAAGACATGAATATTCATGACTTACACGCATTGGTGACCGCGAAGCTGTTGGCGACCTCCAGGTTGTCGATGTGAGGTGTCAGTCTGAACTCCGAAGTGGAGAACTGCACCATCCCCACCCGGAACGCGCTGTACTCCTGATCCGCGCCCCTCGGAAACAGCCCCCCTGCAGAGACCGAGCACCGAGCAAGAGAAGCAAGTGTGTCAGTGCCCGCGAGGCAAAGCGGGGCGCCCCACCAGCGAACCCCTCTCTTGGGGGCGCCTCGCTGCCTTGGACAGCAGGCGCAGCAGCCCAGGTGCCCGGTGGGCTCCTTTGCTTCCCGCCACCCCAGCCTTGCATGCAGACCCCGGGGGAACTGGGGCGAACCGGCCACTGTCTGAGGGAGGAATTCGTAAAATGTGGGGCTCAGACCCTAGAAGCCGGTTTCTCTACGCTGTCAGAGGCACGATGGGTCCCTGGGCTTCATCCTAGGGAAACCATGCACATTCCAGGGAGTTTAAATCTGGAATGCAGTCAAGGTATGACATAAGTCTACATGACATGAATTAATTCGCCCACTGTGAACAAAGATAGCCACCAAATTATGCACAATCCCGAAGCATAGCACAAAGGGTACCTACCTATCTGTATGCTGTTAGAAGAGACACCAAAGATCAGTCCCCACAAAACAGGAGAAAGGAGGACAGAAATATGCATAATCTTTTGCATTTCCAAGAAAAGTAGAGCATCCACAAAATTCCCCCTCGTGTTTTTTTTTTTTTTTTTAATTTTTTTTTAAATTCCCTTTTCCTCCTCTTTCCTTCTTTGGTCGTTTTCCTCAGCAAATTAGATCCTCTGCATTTTGAGACAGCGGTTCAGCACCAGGCTGCTGAAAGCCGGAAACGGAGGCAGAAAAATCCCGGCTGCCGGTCCTGCCGGCGGCCGTCGGTGCCTGCGCCCGAGGTGCGGAGCCGGCGGATGCAGCTGGCCTCGGAGCCGGGGTTGTGCAGCGCCCTCGCGCGCGCGGCTCCCTCTCTTCTCCTTTCCTCTCCTCTCTCCTCCTCTCCTCTCTCCTATCCTTTCTCCTCTCCTCTCCTCCCCTCTCCTCGCTTCTCCTCTCACACACGCGCGCGCGCGCGCGCACACACACACACTCTCTCTCACACACACACACACACACACAGGCAAGGCACGGAGAGGGGCCGGCAGCCCCGGGCGCGCGTGCGCGGCTGCCCCTCCCCCGCGCGGCGCCCTGCACCCCGCACCCCGCACCCCGCAAAGGCCCGGAGACGGCAGCCCGGGGCTCTGCAACCGGTCCCGAGCCGCGCGCTTCTGTTTCAGCACCGCGGACAGCGCTCGCTCCAGGCCTGGCTTCTCCAACCTGGATGCGATGCTGCAAAGCTGATTTCCGCTGGTGTGCAGGGGAAGCTGGCTTGCTAATTAGCGGTGGCGGCAGCGGCGAGTTTTCTCACCAGGCTCGCTGATTATACGTGCAAGATGCCTGTCTTCCATTTCCTGAGAAAAGCCATTTGGCAGTAGTGAAGCCTTGCCAGCCCCTAGGTTGACAAGGCTGAAAAGCAAACAAGCAAACGAAATACCCATCCACCAAGTGTTCCAGAATTGTGAACTTTGGCTTCACGAAATGGAGTGAGGGTCCAAGGGAACCCAAAATTCTGTCCTCGTAGACTCCAGTCCCACGCGAAAACATCGAGGTTGAATCTCTGAAGTACTTTGCGCCCATGGAGTGTGTGCTGCACCGAGCTCCGTGGCAGGTTTGCAAGCCGGCTGATTGTCCAGGCAGCCTTAGCAGCAGCCGCCGTTCAGCTGCTGTAGAAATGCGTACACTTGGCTGCTTAGAGCTCCCCTCTCCGTGCGAGTGGACAGCAAAAACAGCTCTCCTGCATCCGGAAGATCAAGCTACTCTAGACAGGCCGCAGAGCCCCAGAACCTTGCCAGAGACTCAGCTGAGCGCCAGAGCCCAGCGCATTTTGGCCTGAGTTTGGAAATAGGACTTCCTAAAGGAAGCAAGCGGGCCCCATCCGGGCTCCTCCAGCACCCAGCACAGGAGCCCCTGGGAAGGGAAGATGCAAATGAAAAGTTTTGTGGGAAGGAGTTGGCAGGGTAGATGCAGGAGGGGTTTCCCTCCGTGGAACATTTGCTCCAGAGCAGCGGGCCAAGTCCATCCCCAGGAATCCTCCCTGGCCACCCCCTCTGCTGCTCAGAAAGTCCTCCCCAAACGCTAGCCTTTGTGCCACAAACAAAGAAGTAAAAGACTGAATTCAAGGAGTTGCTTCTAGGAACCAGGGGACGAGAGTCCGCCCCACTGAAGAACCAGCTGCGGGTCCCACGTTACCGGCGAGTTAGTCTACTGCTCCATCTTCCCGGGCCACGTGGCTCGAATCTCACACCTGCACAGCCTTGTGACCTCAGCGGGCCTCGACTGACTTCACTGTGAGGAGGACAAGCAAAAGGGCATCTCGGAGACCCTCAAATTCTAAGACTCTGCGATTCACACTCTGAGCTTTCTTCTGCTTTGGTTGTCCATTAAGGCAGGAAGAATACCTATTATAGATAAGCTATTATAGATAAGCTTATGCGCTACAGGTAAAAACACCTCCTGGTGAGATCACCAAAACTTATTTCAGTCTTAGGAGAAACTCCACACATATATAAGGCTGGTCCACTGAATCAAGGCACGTATCCTGGGAAGAATTAAAAATGTGATGGGCAAGATTATGTATGGATACATTCAAAATTGCAGCAAAATAAATAAATAATATACATTGTTGCTAATCATGAAAAATTATTTGAAATCATTCTCCCCTTTAAGTTAAAAAACCCTAAAAGAATGGATTATAGGACATAGCAAGCTAAAAATACATCTTAATCATCTTCATTTTTGCTCCATTTCAATATTTCCTCAAGAATATCTTCAATTTTATGGAAAATAACTTGAAATCAGAGAGAAAAGGGGAGAGAGAAGGGGGCCAGGGAGGTAGAGAGAGAACCAGTGTAAGCGTCTTGAGTGTGAAAAAATACTGATGTTTAAAGTGTGAGTAGATGTAAATTGAATTTTAAAAGATAAAGATTTTTCAGAAGCTATTTTCATCTTAACCTATCTCAAAGTCAAGGGCAGATATGAATTCAAAATTGACTGAATTGCATGGCATAAAAACTGGATTTGCTGAATCATAGAGCACTTTTTTGGTAAATATGGAAGACAGGCAGAAGTTAAAGTCTACTTATTAATTATAACTTGTACTTGAGTGCAAACAAAAGTCTTAGCAAGAATTCCTTATAATTCAATGTTTGTTCTATTAATGCATGTTCACAATATATTTATGTAACTTTCACATAACTCAAAAATTTTCCCTACATTGAGGTAATTGTATTGACATTATCATTCTGGAAATTTTTTAAATTATATAAATATAATTAAATTAAATTATATAAATAACATATTTTGAGCACCAACTACTGTAAATTTAAGTGTAGTAAATTTACTAAATGGTTATACAAATAAAAGTAAAAATACTGAAAATTATTTTACATATATACAAAGCTTTATTTTTAAGCACTTAGAAAGAAACTGATGGATCTACAATATTTACAATAATCAATATATGAATGAATAATCAAATTAATTTTGAAAATTGTCAAAATAGTTCAATAGTGTGCTGTAAGAAACCGTTTGCTATTTTCTGCCCTCTGCTGTTCAATATTGGCAATTATATAAAATTTACTATTATTTCTGATGCAAAGATGAACAGAGATTTTTTAAAAAGGAGAAATAGAAGATATTATCCACCTTACAGTTTGTCTTTCTGACTTATTGACTGCTGATTTCTTTCTGTGTGTATGTTTAAGTTTCATGATCAAGGCTAGAAATAAGTTCTGTGTGAAAAATTTCAATTTATGTTTTATCTTTGTTTCAATATAGGAAATAATGATGTTCCTTTTAATTTGTTCTTACAAATACTTGAAGATTTTCAATAAGATTACCCAATCTACATAGTTTTAAATTCATGTTTCTTCATGAAATTATTTTATGTAAAGTAAGGTTGTTGTAGGTTCTAATTTTGGACACTTGTAGCTGATTTCATTATCGAAATTGTATTGTCCATGCCAGAGACACATTTCCTCTCATGGTGGAGTGTGACCAAAGGTGGTCATCATCTCCCTTCCTGTTCACCCTCCAGGACTGTGGATATCCTACTCCCAAAAGCCTGGGTGGGACTTAGCCTTCAGAACCTCCTGTCAACTTCTGGCAGGAGATGGGGAAGGGGCAGGTCCTGTGCAGGGAACATCCCAGCATGACACCCTACTTGCCGAAACACCACAGGAGAAACAGAAAGAGAAACAGAATTTCAGTTACGTGGAACAATATATGCAAAGGGTTATACATTCTGACATTGCTTCATTTTTAAAGAAGGTAAAAAATAATATGAATATTCACACTGAGACAATATGAACTTCACATTTCTAGTGCAAAATTTTAAATTTTGATTAAACAGAATCAAATTTATTATCCCAGTGTGTATGTGTATATATATATATATATATATATATATGTGTGTGTGTGTGTGTGTGTGTATTCTGAAGCTAAAGATATATATATATATAAATTGATATATAAATATATATTGATATATATAAAAGTTCAATAATTGAGAAATAGACTTATTTTTAAGTCTAAATGACTTGAATATACAAATTTGAATATTCTATGCTCATAGATAGCAATCTTATACACAAAATGTTTCAGTTTATTAATTCACTCAGCAAACATTTATAAAGTGACTACTGTATTCCAAAATTGTGCCTTGGTGTGATAGATAAGATGGGTACAACAGTTCCCCTTCTGATGAAATTCCTAGACTTCAAGCTAATGAATGATTAAACCATGGGATGGTGGCAATGACAAATCAGGAATCAAAGAAAACTTAGCACACTATGATGATGGAGGTAAAGACTGAGAAGAAAAAGCACTGATTTCAAAGCAGCAGGTGGAGAGCCCAGAAACATTGTGGCATCCCGAGGCCAAGGCCAGGAGAGTACTGGGGAGCAGATGTGAAGGGGACGTAGGTGGAGAGTTCAGTTTGGGACCTGTTGGGTTTGCAAGGCCGGTGAGACACAGCCCTTCAAGCTTTGGGGTTAGCATAGGATTCTACCACTCCGGGTAGAGGCACCTGGGGGCTTAATCAGCCCAAGCTGGTACACATGACAATACCATGTCTTGAAAAAGGTTGAATAAATGCTCCCCCACCTCGAAAGAAATAAAAAACCTAAAAAGCACAAAAATCAAAAAGAAAAGATATCCATGCCCTTTAAAATCCTGCTTTGATGTAATGCTGATAAATACACAACCATTTCCTCCCTTTTAAAGCAGGCCCTAGGCATGAGCCGCTGAATAACTTTCGATTTTAGGCTCCTTAACATGGAACAAAGCTTATGGGCATTTGAAGCAAGTCTTTTCTTAAAATTTTATGATTTTTCTAGTATTTCATGATAGTCTTGCATCCATAAGCAAGACTGAATTTTTTTCTCATTGCTTGCTGATACTTTACAGAGGTTTCAGCATAGTTTTTATCAACACTCTTTACACAAATTATCAATGTTTTCATTAAACTCCTTAACAGAAATATCAGAGTCAATTGCTATAAAAGTTATTTTTTTACTTCCTTTTCTTTCTTTTTTTTTTCCTTGTCTTTTTAAACAAGGAAATGTGACTCTCACTCATCTGTGACAGTGGAAATCAGAAGAGAGTGCTTGTCACAAGTATTCACTAGATCTATCCTGGTGTTTTCCACAAAATGTAAAATGAAGATCATAAAGAACGACAGCCACAGGACGGTGGAGTGGGAAGCCCTGGACTGTCTAACCCTCCACGCACTCATCACTGTGCAGATGCAATTTGTTCACAAGGAGCCCAGAAACTTTTCAAAACTCTTCCACCCTACATAAACAAAAATACCGCTACTTAAAACTGTAGGCAAATCCAAGACTCCCTTGTACCATAGATCATACCCACAGCACAATGTCAGAAATTCAATCCAGCGCCAGCTGCTCCCTGGGTAGAGGAAGACAGAACAGGACCCCATATCCAATAATCCAGTTTTTCCAAGTGTTGTGCGCAAGACTGGCT